GGCCTCGGTGGGCGCCCCCGCCGCCGGGAGCGGGGGCACCCCCTGCTTCAGGTCCACCAGCAGCTATGCCGAGTGATTAAGGTCCGGTCATCCACACAGCTGCCGTTGAACCCAGGTCCTAAAATAGCTGTCACCACTCCTTGGGTTGTTGTTGGGTGGTTGTTTTTTTTTTTTTTGCTATCTTAGAAAATGCATAGAAAAATTACCAAAAGAAACAACAGGGACCCAAACCACACGCTGGACTTTTTTTGCTGAACTATAACAACACTGTATTAGTTCCTGGCACCCTAGGACTAAGTATCAGAATAACACATAGAAAAAGTCATAACCCCTGACAGACAGCGCTTAATGTCTTTGAGAACATATTAACACATTTGCTAATTAGGCTGACATGTTTTATCAAGCATTTTTATAATACATAACATTGTTCTGAGAACTTACCCATTAACAAGAAATACTGTTAGTAATAATTCAAAGTAGTACTTGCCTTCAGCCCTCAGAAGCCTTGAAGGCTTGATTTCTAAGAAGGGAAATAACATGGGAAAATATCCTTCTTCTCGTAACAGTGATTAGCAGTTTCGTCCACAGGTTTGCGGAAGTCATCGGAGGAGGAGGCACAATCTGTGGAGTTCATCAGGAATCACCAATAAATTTCAAATTAAACTATGTAATTCTTAACATCTGCTTTTCAGATACTTTAAAAGGGTACGTAGCTATGTTTGTAACTGGAAAAAACAGGCCTCGATCCCAGTCGTCTTCAAGTGGATTGAAAGACATCTACTGATTTCCATGATCTATGTACTGCTCCCAAAGTAAACGCTGATCCTGTTATCCAAGTTATTTCCAGCAAAGATGTGCACTTCCTATCCCCCTTCCATTCCTCTGCCTCCAGGGTGAGCTTCCTCGGGCAGAGAACATGCATAGTAACCTAGGGATTTCCCGCTTTGAGCTGTCAATCAGGGCTGTCCTTTTTTTAATCAATTACACCAAGTTTGCTTTCCCTCTAGAGAGTCGCCAGATAGTTTTGTAATTACTATTTACTACGGACAAGAAGAGCAGATAACATATGCAGATAAAAGAAACCCCACTGACCCAGGGTTCCAGAGATAAGTATCGCTGTGCTGGTACGGTACGAAGGACACGCTGCATGCTGAGCAGTCCAGAGAAAGAGTAATTGGAAAAATGTTCTTAAATGTATTTACAGTCTCACACTCTTCAGACCCGATAGTAGTAATGTATGCAGCAAAGTCAGGCAAGTATAATTACGGGTGGGCAGGATATGAGTCTTATTTTTACGATGCCTTTTGTCTGACCTATGATTTTAGTAAAGTTCTGCCTTGGTTATGCATGGCTCTCCAACAGAGAATACAGCAGTGTCGTTACCAGGTCTGGTAAAGCTATACTGCCATTAAGACCATCAACTTGATGGTGTATGTAATAGTATTAGGTATTTTGCCTCCTTGTTGCCAGGATCTTTTTCCAAAGCATGAATGGTTTTGGCTGCTTTAGCGTGACTACTCATGTAAAGAGTACCATCACAGCAACTTGAATTTGGCCTGCATGTGGAAGCGAGCCTGTGTTCTACTAAAAAGTAGGAAAAAACCTATAATCCTCAAGAGATACAAGAGAGAGTAAGTATCATGCTCTCCGACCTCCTTCTAGCCCATGACCTTAACTAAGCTGCCAGGTAATGGGAAAACAGACAAAAAAGTCACTGTTTTAATCACCTCATTTACCTGAGCAATCCATTTTCCCAAAGCTATTCCAGCCTTAGAGGAAAGGCGTGAAGCTGCCACGTCATGCAGGACCCATGCCATTTAATCAGTGTTGGTGAAAGGGTGCAGAGGGCCAGATCCCCAAATGGAAAGCATCTATTTTAGATGCTCTGTGCATGGCTATCAATATCAAAACCAGTATGAAAATCAGCATATGAAAACACAGGATAAATGCTGGATGTAGCATATTAATCTATGACAGATTTTTTTCCTTTTTCTGCTCTTCATTAATGTACATAAAATTGATGATGGAAAGGAAATCTCGAATTAGGGAGCATCTATGCCAAACACCGTTTTTTTTTTTCAGTCGAATATGAAGTTGGTGCTTATATTTTCAGCTATGATTAACTTTTAGGATAAGTTAAAGATCTCGCGTCACTTTTTGAAAGGATACTCATTGTAACACCAACTCAGGGACTTCTTGCGGGTGCCCATCTCCCCGGGAACTCCACGCGCATTAAAAGCGAGCAAAGGATCGGGGCCAAAGCAAATTAAGCAGAATGGTTTCTAACATCTGCTTTCCAACACAGGACTTCCTCGCACGGTAGCACTCCGAAGAAGCAGGAGCACGGGCAGGCTCTTCCTTCTGTGAGGCGCTCCGTCTTCCCTTTCTCCACCGATTGAATAAACGTCATTGTGAACTCGCTCCTTGGCGCTGTGTCCCAAGTCGCTTGGAAGCAAAGTAGGGGCAAGGGGCCAGCCAGGCCTCGCAGCTCGCCTGGCGTAAGCCCTGCCCTAGCGTCATGGCAAATCACGCCCAAGGCCGGGGTTGGAAATGGAAACTCTGGCGCGCGAGCTCCCGGCGCTCGGAAGGAGCTGGTGTCACCCGAGGGGCTGCGGGGACTTAGAGGTGAGCTGTGGATGAGGCAGAAAATGTTTTTCAGAGGAAAAGAGAGCGAGCGACCGAGCCGGGCCGGCGCGGCGGAGGCTGGCCGGGAGGGCCGGGAGCAGGGC